GCCACACCCCAGAGCCCCCAGCCCCCCGGAGACCTCCCCAGTCCCCATGCCACACCCCAGAGCCCCCAGCCCTGGCATGGGGAGATGTGAGAGGACACCCAGGGTCTCCCCCGGCTCAGCCCCTTGGGACCCAGGTACCCCCCAGCCCCAGCCCCACAGGCCGCAGCGCTGGGCCCAGCCCAGGGGTGGGGGGGTGCGGAGTCTCACCTGCAGGCGCAGTTTGCGAGGCACATCCCCGAAGGGCCGCAGCGCCTCCCCCTGGCGCGCCACGCACTCCAGGTACTCGGGGGGGAACTGGTACTGGGGGTTGAGCAGGGGCAGCATCCGCTCCAGTAGCCGAGCCCAGAACTCGCCCAGCGCCTCGTCCAGGCTGAGCCGGGCGCCCTGCTGGTGCCGCCGCAGCTCGGCGAAGAGCCCCTGGAAGAGCCGGGCGTTCTGGGCGTACAGGCGGCCGTAGGTCTGCGTGAACATGGCCTGCAGCCCCCGCTCGGCCGCCGACAGCAGCTCCCGGAAAAACTCTGCACCGGGGGCAGGGGGAAAACGGGGAAAACCCCCAGGAGATGTCAGGCAGATTGAGGGGACCCTCAGCCCCTGCCCCCCAGTACACGCCTCCCAGTCCCCGCCCCCATCGCGGTGGGGGCTGGTGGGTTAGAGCGGAGGGGGCTGGGAGCCAGGACTCCGGGGGTGGCTCCCCGGCGCGGGGGGGGGAGTAGGGGCTGGTGGGTCAGAGAGCCAGGACGCCTGGGTTCTCACCCTCGAAGCGGCGGTGGCGCGAGGCCAGGGTGCTGGGCAGGAAACTGGCCCCGTCCTCCACCAGGGCCCGGAAGTCCCTGTTGCTCTGCAGGCTGAGCTGCTCCTCCATCTCGCTGGAGCAGCAGGTGTAGTCCTGGGGGCAGATCCGCAGGTGCTCACCTGGGGGGGGGGGGGGGAGCAGAGAAAGACACCACCAGTCAGTGCCTGGCCATGGGGGGCCCTCAACTCCCCCCACCCCCACAGAAGGGGGGAGCGGCAGTATACACAGACCGTTTCTTCCCCC